CCTAAGTCGACAGGTGGACATCCCCCAAGGGGTCCTGGACTGCAAATGGGCGCAGGCCGGGCTGAGGGACCCCCCCCCCCGAGGGCACAAATTTTTGTATACCAGGCCTCTAGTCTATATAATAAAGAGGTAATATGCAAATTGACCATCACGCCCTTGCACAAGATGGCCGCCCCCATGTGGTCATGTTACCTTATTTAACCTTTCCAACAAACCTTTAAAAGGAACATGCCTCTATTTTATGATGGGGAAAAACAGGCTTAGCGAGATCTAACTATTTGTTCACTGCCACAGCAGAGCTGGGGTGAAACTCATTTGGTGCTAGAGCTGTGGAGTATCACCTTATAGTATGCCTTCACCCAGCTCTACCTTCACCCTGATTCCATAAATATCAAACCATTTCTGAATTAAGTCCCATGAGGCACTAGGACTTATTAAATTAAAGCAAAATGGACAACTCTGGATTATTTATTTTAGTAACCTAACGATCTCTATAATAGGCTTTATAAACTCATAAGAGGTATTCATTTAAGGATGCAGTACTTTTTTATTTGGAGGATTTTGTCTAGCCAGAAATCAAGTCGATGCTATTTCTCCAAATATATATATTTTTTAAATTAAAGTTAATGGGGTGACATTGGTTAATAACATTATAAGTTTCAGGTGTACAATTCTATAATACATCTGTATATTGCATGTGTGCTCACCACCCAAAGTCTATGTGAATTTGTTTGTTTTTTTCTTCATTTGTTGCTTTCTGTTTTATATCCCATATATGAGTGAAATCATATGGTTCTTTTCCTTTTCCATCTGACGTATTTAACATGATACTTTTAAAATTAATCCATGTTGTTGCAAATGGCAGGATTTCACCTTTTTTATGACTGTGTAATATTCCATTGTATATGTGTATCACATCTTTTTTATCCAGTCACTCATTGAAGGACTCTTAGGTTGTTTCCATGTCTTGGCTACCATGAATAATGCTGCAATGAATGTTTTCAAAATTTTGGGGTAGATATCCAGAAGAGAGATTGCTGGGTCATATGGTAACTCTAGTCTTAAATTTTTGAGGAATTGCTCATACTGTTTTCCATAGTGGCTGTAATTCCCATCAGCAGTGTGTGAGGGTTCCTTTTTCTCCAGATCTTCTCTAACACTTACTTCTTATCTTATTGATAATAGTCACTTTAACAGGTATGAGGTGGTATCTTCCTGTGGTTTTGATTTGCATTTCGTTATAGCTAGTGAACTTGAGCATCTTTACATATATCTGTTGGACATTTGTTGTCTTCTTGGGAATAATGTCTGTTTAGGTCCTCTACTAATTTTTAATTAGATTGTTTTTTTTTTATTGTTGTCTGTGTTCTTTACGTATTTTGGGTATTAGCCCCTTATCAAGGTATTGTTTGTGAATATCTTCTCATATTTGGTTGGTTGCCTTCCAATATAGTTTGATAAATAATCATTTACTTTCCAATCCATTGACTTTTTTCATTTATTTTGCTTTACATGGGATGGAGTTTAGAGCTTCTGGAGAGAAACTAAATATTATTCATGGAGAAAGCTGTTTTGCAAAAAAATGTAACACCCCTTGCCCCCACTTTTTATTGGATGATTAAGCAAAAAAAAAAAAAATCCAAGGTCAACTTTACATGTGTCACCCAGTGGGTAAAAATGTCACAGACTGACAGCAGAAGGATTTGTGTCCATGGAAATTCAGCTTGAATCAAAAGAGCCCATTCTGTGATGCTTGCTGCAGGGCACCTCCATTCCGAGAAGTAGATGCCTGCTCGTGGGTAATCAATTAGAAAATCTATCTGCCCTTGAGGACTGCTTCTAGTGAGCATCAAGACTGGCTGCCTTTTCATCACCTCTTCTATAGCCACTTACCTCAGTCGCCAAAAGAGAAAATTCTGACATCTTAATTTTAATGTGAGCATTTGATCCAGTGCTTGAGATAAATATAACCCTGAGCAGTATAGAGAAGGTTTAATGGGAAATGGTTGGCATTCTTTCTTGGTAAAGGCACAGGGAAAAGAGAGAGGCTGAGGGAGAGAGGGAGAAAGGGAGAGAGAGGGAGAGAGAGAGAGGCAAACAGCAGTGGGGAAGACAAAAACGGATCAGCAAGGCTCCAAGGCAGCCTGGAGGCAAGGCTGCTGAGAACGTGACACTTTCCAGACCCCAGCCAGCATGGTTGTCCTGAATCCAACGACTTTGGGAATTTATCTTCAGCTTTTCTTCCGCTTTGTCGTGTCTCAGCCTACTTTCATCAACAGTGTCCTCCCAATTTCAGCAGGTAAATGATGACCACGTTCCTCTCTTCCACCTATTTGCGGCAGGGGGAGGAAGGAAGATTGATTTGCAACGTGTCCTGATATTTTTCTTAGTCTACTCTTGCTGGAGGGAGGCTGGCGGGAGACCACCCTAGAAGCTCGCTGTCACTCCAGCTGGTCTTGGAAGCCCCTTCTGTCCTTGTTCCAAAAGTTGTTTCTGCCTTCCCTCACTTCTTACCCCCTTTTGCCACACAATTTCATTTTGGTAGGGGATCGTGGGGAGCTTAAAAGAGATGGAAAGAAGTGCAAATGAAAGAGAAGTGAGTCCCAGAAAGAGTTGTTTCTATAAATACATCCCTGACCCCTTCTGAAGGGGGCTTGACTCAAAGGGGATGATGTGGACGAACATGTCACTGTCCCAGCTCGGACAGTGTCGCTGGTTGCCAGGACCATCCCACAGAAGGCGAAAGGAGTCCTGTTGATTCTCTGGGGGGTAAGGGGCCTCCATGCAGCCTGAGGTCTAGATCTTCCATTTCTCCAGTCCTGTCTGCTTTCCTGTTGTCCTTTCTCCCTGGGGTGGGCCTTCTCTTCAGCCTCAGGTGAGGCAGCTGGGAGAAGGGGGCTTTCTGGGGAAAGGCGGAGGGGCTCCAGAGGGAGAGCCAGGCCTGAAGCTGGGTGTCTGCTGGGTGCAGTGTTGGGAGGCGAAGACAAGGGGGCTTTCCCTGTCAGTGTGGCAGCCTTTTCTGTTGTCCTGTCCTGTCTGACCCAGAGCAGCAGGAGTATTGGGTTACTGGCATAGCCTATTTCAACCGCTCTGGGCAAACTCAAGTATTTTCAGAGGGCTTGAGGGAGGCAGACAGACCCCAAGCTTTGCTGCCTGTCTCCTCAGAGCCTCCCTCAGTTTGCCTCAGTCACCCATGGCTCTCCCTGGAAATGGCAGTCACATGCTCCAACATGAATCTCATAAATACTCTGAGGCAGAAATTTTGTTCTCACTGTCTTTGCTAGGAACTCAGAGAAGGCACAGCTCAGAATTCAGTCCCCAACCGCTGTCCATTCATAAAAACAGCTCATCAACATGATGTGCTGCCAGCGTCTGTGGGCCCTGGGGGAAGGGCTCAGAAGGGCGTGGAGCTAATTATAGAAGTGTGAGGAACTGAAGGAGGGTAGGGATTTGTGGAGAATATGGGGGCAGGGAAGGAAAGGTGGGTGGTTGTGCCAACATGCTCCCCCCAAATTCAAGTTGACAGCACCACGTTTCTTCTGGGAGAGTCATTATTCCACTACTCAAGGGGAATGCTGGATAACCTTGTTTGGGCCATAGATTCCTTTGAGAATCTGCTGAAGGCTCAGGACTTAAGGAAACTCAGTCCTCTGGTTTTAGCTTTGTCCTGGTAAACTGTCTAACTTCTGGGAGATAGTTAGCCTTTGACGGTAAGCACTATGAGGGCAGGGACTGTGTCTGCCTTGTACATTAGCATCATTTCCCCAGGGTCAGAATAGTGCCTGGAGCATAGTAGGTGCTCAAAAAATATTCGGTGACTGGATGAGTGAATGAAGGAATAAAACTTCTTATCTATAGATTGAGGTATGCCATCATTTTGTAACACTTAATTTAGATAGTACCAAAATGGCTAACGAGTTCTGAAAGTTAGAAAAGAACCTCTGATTTTCTTTGAACTCCTTGTCCTAGAGAGAGCCGTGACATCTCTCAAGTGAGACTGTGCAGATTGTACCAGTCAGGGTAACACCAGGAAAAAGAAGCAAGTCTAATGGTTCTGATGAAAATACTTGAAGGGACCAGTTTCAGAGGTTGTGGGTGGGGTTAAGGGAATCAACAAGGAATGTTGAGAAATTAGCAATTGTGAGAGTTTTTACCACCATTGTGCTTGAAAAGGCAAGAGGAAGAAATGGGAAATAGATTCCAGGAAGATTTGGGACCTTGGAGGGGGGGTCACTGAGCAGGAGTTTTGATCACAGAAGAGCCTAAGGCGGGGGAGAAAGTGGAGAAGAAATACCTTTCCTCCGATACAACCACCTGTTGGCTAAACAACCTGACGCCCAGGCAGAGGAGCTCCTGGATGCAGTCATGGGGGGTCAACTTCTGGGGTGCAGAGTGAAGGGAGATGGTGGGAACGTAGAATAGTTAGCCCACACATCCATAAGTACTTCCTCGTGAATTGCTAGGTCCAGACCTTCTGGTTGGGAATGTGGTCTTCAGACATTTGGTGAAAGAATAAGATAGAGAGTTAGAGGAGATCACTAAGGTGACAGAGAAAAAAAAAAATCTGCTTTCTCCTGTAGTCACTTGGCTTTGTCTCCTTCATTTAGTTGCCAGGACTTCCTTATAGCACAGTTTAGAAATAAACTTATGTCCCGAAATGGGAAGTATTCCTTGACACGGGAGAACTTTAATTCTTTGACAATATTTTCCAACAATTTGCTGTGAAATATTCCGTATTCAAGCTTGTAGATTCTTACTCTTCCTGTGCTCATAGAAACAAGGGCCACCAGGAAGATCTTTTCATTTCACCCATTACACCTTAGTGCAGTGATGGCGAACCTTTTGAGCTCGGCGTGTCAGCATTTGGAAAAACCCTAACGTAACTCTGGTGCCGTGTCACATATAGAAATTTTTTGATATTTGCAGCCATAATAAAACAAAGATTTATATTTTTGATATATATTTTATATATTTAAATGCCATTTAACAAAGAAAAATCAACCAAAAAAATGAGGTGACACGCGTATCATAGGTCCGCCATCACTGCTTAGTGCGTGCCTTCTGGGTGCCTTGTGCTATCGGGGACACAGAGACAAGTGCAGTGCTGCCTCTGCTCTGGGGAACCCATGGTCATTGGCTGTCAAAACCCAGGCAGCCCGACCAGCACGCGCTAAATTCCCTGGAGAGGGGCTGTGATGGAGGAAGAGCTCTTACGGGCATCTAGGCTGGTGCTCACCTCCCTCTCTCCAGGAAAGACTGTATTCCAGCAATGCCAGACACAGCACCCACTATCTGGATCAGATGCTCGTTACCCACTGCCAGGTCCCAGAGGAGAACCAGGAAGGGAGCAAAGCATCAGAGGCCAACATTGATGATAGAAATCTGAGCACTAAAGCACATGCATTTGCTTTGCAGAAAACACACTCAGGCCTCTACTCCAAGCCTATTAACTCTACTTTGACACCATTCTAACCGGCTTAGATAGGTTTCTCGAAGGGTGGAGAATTCGCTGTAGCATATTAGATTTTGGGAGTGGGGCTGCTGCTTAAGGTACACACAATGACAACAAAATGACAGCTTGTAAATTGGTTACAAGAAAAATGGTAAAGAACTGGGGAATGGTCTGAGATCAAAAAAGAATAGCAGACTGGAATTATTTCTAGAGCTCCTGTTTTGTACAATACCCCCTGAAGGCCTCATGAACTTATAGCACATTTCCTGGCTTTCACTATGATGAGCATGAATGACCCAGTGAAGACTGAATTGTGTTCACTTTATTTTGCTTAAGAAGCAGACAAGTGAACTGTGTCCAGCACGGCCAGTGGTAAACCTGAGGAGGGGCGGTGAAGGATTAAAGAAAGCAGACAAGAGAATATATTTGGGGTCAGTTGGATCCCTGTGCCTGGATGAGGACACAGTGACCCGGCCTGTAAGCTGATCTTTATTTTATACTCAAATCACACAAAGCAAAACAAGGGAGTGGTCAAGATATTTACAATGTTCTTACGAGTTTCAAATCTGCTTCTTTCCTGTTATTGCAATTCTCTGAACTCTATCACGCTTTGTTTTGGCAGCACTTGCTGCACCTCCTGCAGCCCATATCCCTCAGCTACCTAGGACGACAAGGTCAGACTATAAGGTCAAGCTTACATACAACCATAGCCTTTGGCTATAATTGTGCTGGGAGGGCTTTGCCCTCCAAGTTGGGACTTGTATGTGGCTTTGCCACAAGAGGACTGTGCCCTCTCGTCAGTCCGAGGCTTGATCCTGTCCAGCCGCTCTCCACAGATAAGTGCCAGATATATTTTAAAATAATTTCAATTGAACATGGCCCTAAAATTTTTAATGTCAGGAACCTTAATGTTGGTATTTTGTTTTAACCATTGCTGGGTAATACACCACCCTCACACTCAGTGGCTTAAACAACAGTCACTTATTGAAGCTCACATGTTTGTGGGTCAACTAAGAGTCAGCTGATCTAGCTTGGGTTTGGTTGGCCCTGTCTGGGCTTACTATGGGTCTGTGGATTGACTCAGCTCCAGTAGCCATTCATAGATGTAGCTCAGTCAGTAGATGTACAATTTCTAGAATGTGGTGGCACAGACTCAAGTATAATAATATTTATAGACATGCAGACCTTCCATACACTTCAATTTATGTAATTCTCACAGCACCCCTGGGATGAGTGTGACATCACTTCTACATTTTAGATGAAGGGATGATGGTTCAGAGAGGTTAAGTGACTTGCCCAAGATCACACAGCTGGTATGTGGGAAAATTGGAGGCTGGAATCCTGCCCTCTGACTCTAAGTTGGGGTCTTTTACTAATGTAGACCAAATCTGCTTATTGCCATGGATAAATAATAATATTAGATGGTAAAGTGCTGTAGGTTACTTCTATTTTTTGAAAACTCAGCTCTAGATTCTTCTTAAAAATCTTCATTCCTTCAATTTTTAATACTTTTCAACTATAGTTGATATATATTATATTAATACAACATAGTGATTAGACATTTATATAACTTCTAGAGTGATCACCCTGGTAAGTCTAGGACCTATCTGATACCGTACATAGTTATTACTAGATTCTTTATTCTTTATTCTCCCCTACCTTCCCCTCAGGATATCAGTGCCCAAAACTTTTAGCAAATGATTGAATTTTGCTTTATACTAAAGTGTACCCGACTTTCCAGGATACTGGTGTATCTTTCCTTTGACAGCATTTGTATTTTAACAGGGGTTAAAGTACTAAAGTATGCTCTAGTAAGATGAGCTTCAAGAAGAGTATTTTGGGCGATG